TGAGAAGGAATTCCTCTTTCTCGTACCCGAGAGATATCAGCCGCGAGGAGACCAGGTTGAGCAAAAAATCTGCTGATATAGAAGAACTCACCTGCAGCCTGTTCCGGGTTCTCCTTTACGTACGACAAAGGGTTGAGCAGAATGATATGGCAGTGCTTTCGCTGCTCCCACTGCCACGTTCCCTCCATTCCTCAGCTTAGCACCCGACGTTTTCAGTGCCGACTGAAACCGAGCCAGGTTACATTTTGCATAAGTTTCTGCCAAATCGCTTCTGCACGGGTTGGGATCATCGTTTCGGTTCACAGGGGACGTTAACAGAGCGAACGATTTAATATAGGGATCAGTTCTCGTTTTTATTGAAAGTTGTAAAGTGAATGATATCGATGCTGCTATCTATACGAAAAGAGGCGAGAAGCGAGGACTGAGAAAGAGTGAAAATAGAAAAGAAAGTGAAAAGGGTTGGAAAAGTAGAAAAGAACGAAATGGAGGAATGACCTGAATCGATTTGAAATTGTCTGTTTAGTCAGAGATTCTTCGTTGAAGAATCTGTCTGGCTCTAATTGCTAAATCCCTTTTATTTACAACGCGACGTAAATACAAACAGATCTCCGAGTAAAGAAATATTATTTTCTACCTAAGGCTGAAATTCAGCAGCCGATCCAACAACGTTCAACACAGTTGCTCGTCTCTCGTTCGTGATATTGAAATTCACTCTCGAGGGGAACCTAATTGTTTTCGGAACGAAGGAATCGAGCATTCTCACGTTGCGTCGCGTACGAAGAACGAATCGTTCCAAAGGCGAAAGACGAAAACCGCGCCATCTTCCTGTCGCGATTATTTCTTGAAATGTCAAAAGACTGTGCCCCAGATGGGAAATCGAGCAAGAATTACAAGTCGGTGCACCTTTAATCTGTCGCACGTTGGCCTTTCCCGCTCTGCCCGCATCGGTTCCACGAACTCTCATCTCAATGGATATCGATTAACGACGCGAGAACGATACATCAAAGAATCATAACGTTGCCATGCAGGAGGTTAACCAAGGGTAAAAATAAACGCTGTGCGTTTCGCGCGATGAATAATGGCCGTGGGCGGTGCCATGTTAGAAAATTGCTCCAAGTAGTCAAACACTTTCCAATTTTCGATAGAGCAATGAGCAATTTCATTGTACAGATGTGTCCAATCCTTCGATTGGAATATGCGAAAATGTGTTGGAAAGAGTAGTTGGAAAATTCGAGTTTAAAAATTTACCGATTATACTCGCATTATATTTGGCTAGTTTTACACGTGACAGAAAAGGATAATTGACAGAAGAGTAAAGTTTTCTCCGTTTTCGACAAAAACGAGTTTGAAGATTTATCAAGTACACGCGTAATTTTCTCAAGAACCGGTGCCTTAAACGAAAAAAATCTTACTCTACATTTTTACTTTTTATTTTCACGGGTAGAATAAATCCTCGTGTCGATTATTTCCACTTATCCAATGCGGAATTAACCGAAATTATAATTGATAAACTTTCAAACTGGATCCACTCGAAAACGAAGGGTTTAATGAGAAGAAAATTTTATTCTTCTTTCTCGATCCATTTTCGCACGCAGAATCACCATTCGAACGAGATTTCAAATGTTTATGGAACAATCTCTCACACTTTGTGATATTTGTATGCGTTTTAAACGTTCAATTATTTCGTCGTACAATAATGACACCCTCGTTAATTAAATTGGATGGAAAATCTCGCGAAATTTATTCTGCTGAAATTCAACAGTTCCTTGAAAGAAAAAAAAAAAAAAAAAAAAAAAAAGCATTCTCCACCGTATGGTGGTCGATCCCCGATCATGCCGATTTGCCAATGGAAATTTCTAGGCTATCACGAATACATGAATAATGCATACTGCCGTGTTACAGGAGTCCGGCGTGTACTCATTATTGTTCCCGCAGCCTATTAAATCTGGATTTACGCTAATGGTCCGCGCTTTGTGATGAGAAGCACGTCACGTTTGTCAGCCACGACGAGCCACGTTTTACTTTGTGTCAACAGCGTGTTTATCGGCAAAAGTCAACGCCGGACGTTCGCAGCATCGTGTGCCGTTGTCACGTGTTTAATTATATTCCTCTTGTACGCATCGTCATCCATCTTTTATCGTTCGAACCTGCGATATTTCGCGTTGCGAAAACCTCCCGAGAGGAGGAGAGAGAAGAGATTTCTACACCATTAACACGATTTTTATTCAACTTTGTCGATTATTCTCTTCTGTTTCAGTATCGAAATATATCCGAGTGTTAGATCTTTTCGACAATTTCTTTCCACCACTGAGTTACAATCCTCGACTCTCAACTAACTTTGAAGAAAGAAAATATTCGTAAAATTTACTTCCGACGATAGTTCCGCCATT